TATATATAGTATTTTCTATTTATATTCAAGCATAGTACAGGAGAAAGCAAACAAGCACTCCACAATGACAAATAAAAGTCTTGAAAAAAGTATTATTTCCCTCCGCTTGTGATGCTTCCCCGATCCTTGCCAGTTGAGTGAAGCATATTTACTCTGAAGCTCAGGCCTCAAGTCCAACTAAACCCAGAAATCTGCTTCATCACCGAAAGCCCGGCCAACTCCGACACTTGATCCTCATTCCCGGACACATGCTGTGGTTAAATTTGGAGTGTCACATCACTGGGGACACATGATAGCCCTGTTGCCCCCCTGGCTACTGGACAATACAATACATACACAGTCACAGTCACATGCAGGGATGTATTCTGTCAATAACAGAGAGAGAGGATGGATGGGGGTGAAGTTAAAGTGTGATGACATGTCAACAGATGTACACACAGAGCAGGGGCAGGCAGTCATACTACAATGGGCAGCATTTATGAGCCATTCAGTGTGTTGATACGTATGTGTGCGTGTAATTGTCTATAATTGATAAAAATGTTCGGCATGGTAGGGAAGCACCAGCTGAAATCACCATCACAACATATAAGCAGTGAGCATCAGTGTCATGTTAAGTCTGGGGGAGGTTCATGAGGGATGGCAGAAAGTCAGCAGAGGAGAGTTGTTGTTAATGACCTTGTCGTAGTCTCCTGTTGCTCTAGGTCAGAACACTGAGGTTATGAGGGCAGATCTGTGTGTGGTCGCTAAAGCTCAGCGCTGAAATGCTCTTCACATCATGTGCCCAAAACTGTGAGGCTCATTTTAGAGTCACGGTGCGCTGTAATCCCTGGAAAATGTCGACCTTGCCTGTCGGTCAGTCTTTAAATAAAATCCAGTTTGGATTCAGATGAATGTCAATTAATTATATTAGTATCAGTTTAAAGGAACAGCTCCCACCATAATCAAAATACATTTGTTTCCATATACCTGTGGTGCTAATTATCAGTCTTATTGCTTTGGTGCCGTGTTTATTTTGACAGCAATTTTAGATTTAGTCTTAGTTTTGGTCTTGAGAGGAATTTTAGTCAAGTTGGTCAACTTGTGGTCATTATGTTTTTTAACTGTTTTTTTTTCATGTTTAAACTAAACCAGTGAGGCTGATTCATGTATCAGAAATTAAAATCATGGTGACAGGTTGTATAAAAAACTGAAACTTTGACACCACAAATGACAACTAGGATTTGTACCCAGGTTCATTGTAGACTCTGACTTATCAATCAAAAAATAACTTAATTTCAGCCTGAATTCTTTCTAAATCTGCAACATGATAGTCTGGAGGTTTAAACTTACGTTCTCTCACAGAGTCGGTGATTGAACCTACACTTTTATCTTTGTCAGAGTAAACTCAGCTGAATTCAGACTGCCAACTTACAGCACAGCTACACAACAAAGCCTCCAACCTGCCTGTCAAACAGCAATCAATCCATAAACCTTCCTGAGACAGTCCGCATTTGAGTGCTTTTGCTGGCTAGTGAAACATCCTGGTACAGACTATTTACTGGAGTTACCAGCCCGTCGTTCATGTGGCATTTGATGATAACCGCAAGAAAAGGGTAAAGAGATAAGGATAAAGATCAGCTTTCAATGTCTGATAGTCCACCACTGACATTTTTGTCCCATCTCATGCTGTCCCATCTGTATTATAACAATGTATGTTGGGCAATATGCCTTTTTTCAGTGGGGTACACAAATATACTGTATGTCAGATTCTGAAATAATCAGATAATTTTAGTCTGACTTAACCTTGTGTTTAAAGGTACAAACATTAGACTTTTTTCTATTAATACTGGTTGAGTTTAAGGGTTTAGATGGAGGTAAAGGTTAGAAACATGAGCATGGTGGATTATTGAGACCTGCCACTAGCATTTTATTATCAATATTAGGCTATTATTTTCATTATTGATCAATATCTCAGATATTTTTACAGTAAAAAATTCAATTCATTCAATTTCCCTGTTGCCAATATGTTGAAATTGCTTGTCAACGGTCCAAAACCTGTAGAGGAAAGAAATGAACTGATGGTTACTAGACGACATGTTATCATCCCACTATTTGTTTCACTGTGGTATAGAAACCAATCTGATAATGTAACAGCACAGAAACTGAATAAAAATCCAGATGTAAACTGTGCTTCAGTGTTATCCATTAGAGGATCATATACATGCCACACTGTGTCTAAGTGCTCTGATGTCCACTCTGCATTGTGAGTTACCCCATTTAGACTTGTTGCTGGTTCTGTATTAGCAAGGACTGGTAAAAATAACTGCATTTTGCATTGTAATGTGAACTATAATTACCCCCTAACTTCCTAGTCATTTAGGAAAACATTACATCTGGTTCCAGAACGAAAAACCTAAACCAGAACTAAGAAACTGAATCTATCATGCACATTATGGTTCATTGTAGATGTTAAGACATAAATGTGTTTGCAAAATGATTCTTCAATGCATAGATCAAGGTAGAAATGTCATTAATGCACTACAATGCAACTTTCAAGCAGTGTCCTGTCTCTCTGATCAATCCAACAGCCCCTCTGGTTGACCCAAATGCACCTATTGGCTACTGTGGCAAACTCAGGTTCAGGTCTGGTGTAACCTTAATGGACTTTCACACCACATGATGACCTGCTACCTCCAATCCTTTCAATGAGGGGAAGGGAGCAGAGAGGAAGAGATTTCGAAACATGGTAGTAGGGGCATGCAGTGGCTGCCACCCATGTTAAGATTTGACTCTGCCATTTAGAGCTCACTGTGTTGAACTTCTGGTGAGTGCCAACACATTCTCACTTCGACCTCATCACATATCAACGTTTGGTCATGGACTTTCCACGTCCAGATACAACGTGCAAGGTACCCTGGGTGTGTTGATTGTTGACGTTCTGGAACACTGTGTCAGGTTCTGCCTGTTCCATGCATTGTCTTCTTTCAAAATACACTTCTGTTTTCACAGGAAGTTTACCGTTTACATACAGTCTCTTTCAAAATAAACACACTGCATCGGTACGTTGTTGGGTTTAGGTAACAAAAGTACGTGGTTATGTTTAGGGAAAAAACAGGGTTTGGCTTTATAATCTTACGTGATGCGAACCCCGTTCTCTCGGGTGAAAGTTCAGGAGTTCAGTTCAGCACCGCTTCTGCCCGCCCCACACGGACTTTCACCATCTAAACTTTCATTCTTGTCCTGCTGCCTCCTGACGCTGCTGAATGGTGTTAAAGTATAACAGCAACTGGCTGTGTATCATGCCAATGTTGAAGGACGGCTCTTCTCTTCAGTGTCTGGTGCCGCAAGTCACTGCCCAAGTGCAGAATTTTGATTATTTTGGGGTAAGACTGGGTTGTGGTTGCTGCCTGGCTCTGGCCGATGAAATAGAAGGGGGCGAGCATTGCGGAAGCAGAACGAAGACAAGATAGAGGAGCTGATAATGTTGGTGTCTGAATACCCAAAGTTGTTCAACATGGCACTAGCAACTTAGAAGAAAAACTGGGCAACTGGATAACATTTGCACCAAACATCAGATGATGTCCCATTGTCTTGCTACAGTATGCAGCTACAAGCTAGTCTGAACTTCCGCCAGTGACGGTACCAGAAGCACCTGCCTCTTATAGCAGTCCTGGACCATTTAAAAACACTTGCTTTACAAGGGAATGGTCTTGCAGGTAGGTGGTTGTCAGGGCGGTTTCTGCACAGTTGTGTGAAAGCACCTTGTGGGCAAATGTGAACCATAATGCTGCGTATTCACGTTAGCTACTTCTGTGCATTCCTACGGGTAAGAGGTTGTTAGAGACAATGTTTCTTCAAAAAAACATCACCAGATAGATTAAGTACAGTGCCAAACTACCTTACTACGTATGGTTAAGGTAAGATCTTGGCATATTATGGCAAAGAAACTACGGTACATAAGAAATCTATATGTGACAGATGCCTCAGAGCACTGTGCACTGTCAGAGAACTGTGGTTGATAATGTTGCTGAAGCCCCAAAACACAAAAACGCCAGTCATTTTCTCAAATATCACAAAAGGACACACAGTAAAAGTTTTGAAAGCCTTAGACAAATTTTGTCATCCTGCCAATAGAGGCATCAAATCATAAAAAAGACACTACTTCCTGTATCGGCACTGGATGTAAATCGTTAGCTGCAGTATCATCCAATATTAACATAATTTGTAGGATAGTAGGCCTTTCACCATTCACAGCCTGCAGTCGTTACTGCATTTACACACCAGTGTTGACATGACTGTGACTTCTATTCTTAAATTGCTGCTTTCCTGCTGAGGAATTCAGTTCTTGAACAAACAAAGCAACCAGGTTAAGTCATACTGGCATTAATGGACTTCTTGTGTTAACTCTTAGATAGTTTATCAGGGTCAAAGTTAATGAATTATAAAATAAGTTGCTCATTTTCTGCCCAGGAATGTAGCTCTTGAACAGCAGAAATGGAAATCGTTTGCTTGGTCACACATGGTGCTATGTTTAGTTGGTGAGTTTTGGGTAATGCATCAGTCGATCGTCCTTGACCAGGAGCCAAACAAGGGGGTCGCCAGGCAACATGTATGGTCAGTAGCAGGATGAGTAATTTAGGTCAGCATGGTAATAGCTGAATAAAATACGAATAAAAGTTTAGTTTTCAGGAACTGCCTGGTGGGTTCATGTGTGATTAAGTCAAGCAGAAGTAGAAGATTCTACTGTATAAAAGAAACACGAACACTTTCATGTAGCCATCATTTCAGAGGACATAACATTTGACATACATTTGTTTCCTGGAGAACTACCCTGACCACGACTGGCTTCACCCTAACTTTGTCCGAACCTTTACCCAAGTAATTTTATGCATTATGGGACTTGCTTTTTGTCCTCAAAGGGAAGGCGAGTACCTACAGTTTGGCTGTGTAAACAGATGTATGTCTCCACAACATGTCTACATATGCATACACACACCTAGAAATGAGACGAAAACACTCACCCCATTGCAGGAAACCAGAGACATACTTTTCCCTTGCAAAGGGCGAGGAGCAGAACTCCTGGTAGACGCCTACCAGAAGGTCCAACAGGGTCTGGAGCCCAACAGGTCCTGTAGTTTGGGGGCCCTCGGCCAGGTCAGGTGCACCAAGGCCAGGGCCCGTTGACATGGTGCCCGGTGGGTGAGAGGTTTGCGTGGTTTAGAATTGCAGTGAAACCCCGGTGTCCATGGTGTACTGGATTTACTGTGAGACAGGCTGGATCTTCTTCTTCCTCTTGGTTTACAGTTGCTCTGTTGGCCTCTTGAGAATCTCATTTACAGTAACAGCCCACCCCCCCATCCCACCCCAACGTGCACCCACACCCCCCTCCCCCTTCTGGAGCTCTTTCTGGATCACACCTAACCCCACCCCCCGCCCGTCCGTCCTGACCTGCCTGTTCTGTCTACCTACTCTGCTTGATCACAGTAGGAGTGTATGTTTTCTATGCAAACATCCTCTTTAACAGTTCATGTTTCCTCTTCTTCTCTACTTCTACACAACTGTCAACTGTTTCTTTTGTCTTTATATGTCAGTCCCCTCCTCTCTCTGTCTGTCGGTCTGTCTCTCTCCTTATTCTTCTCTCTCCATGGCTGTGCAGCATCTGTCAAGCCTGCAATTTCTCCAGCTCTGACTCCAGACCTTTTTTGGTGTTTGAGTCTCCCTCTCCGTCTCTCCCCACTCCCTCTATTCAAACTTTCTACTACAACACTGAGACTTAATAGAGAAGCATCTACATGCTCTGAAACAAATCCTCTTTCCGTCTATCACGTGTTAATTTGTTTTTATTACCTGTCTTTGTTTGCTTTCCTTCCCTTTTTCCTCCCCCCGTGACAGAAACAGGAACCACTGACCTGAATCAGTGCTTGCTGTTGCTGTTACACTCAGTCATGTTTTGAAGAGCACAAATCTCTTATTTTGTCAACCGTCCAAGGATCCTTTTTAGTCCCCTTGATTTTTTGCTGTGTGTCCCTGCTGTCTCACTCATCTCTCCCCCTCTGTCACCCCGCTCAGTCCTCCTCACGTCATGTCTCCCTCACTCACTCTTTTTTCAAGGATGCAGCAGCAGAGATCGCCTCCTCTTGCCCAGCTCACTGGATCTGAAAATCCTTCCACTCTCCCCCGTCTGTTTATCCGTTTACTCTCCCCGTCCCTCTTTTTCCCTCCTGTACTGCACTGTAGCTGTCTGTGTCTGTTCTCTCTTTCACTCTCTTCTCTTTCTCCTCCCCAACTTTTCTGTTTTGACTTTTCGAGTGAACTGCCTCCTTCCTCTTCTCTCTTTATAAATACACCACAGCTGCCACACAGCACCGCCTTAAAGTTTTCATCTCCTTTTCATAGCTGTATTTTTTGCATCCAACTAATGCTCCAAGCTTCCATCTAAGTGTGACTGTGTCTTAATTTTTTCTCAAACTTGTCTATGAGCATAGCGAGGAAATGAAGCATGAGTGCACAGTTTTGTGTAACCGATCACATGAGTATGAGACAGTTATTTGTTATGAAAAAAGGACAACTGAAAAGGAAAAAAATATAGCCATCATCAGTGTCCAATATCAGCTTAAAATGATTTTAAAAAATATACTATGCTTTTATTCTTACAGCCCAGGAAACATATTTTCAAACGTGACTGCATGTACATCTTACATCCTCACTTACAGATTTTAATGAAGTGGTTTTACATACTTATGTATTCTGCCACCTGTGTATGACCAACATGGATAGATACATGCTCCATTACTTGCACATTATAAACACTGACGCACATTCAGAGCTTGTGTGTTCCATACGCTGAAATGATTTACTGTGAAGTGCTGCTGGCCATAAGGATTCAACTCTGAGTTCTTCCAGTCTGCCGACCACTGATGCATGCCAGGGAAATATTATGGGTAAATAATTTTTATCAGCTGTGACAATGTTGCTGGTTTTGTTCTCACCTTGTGGATCTGTGTGTTTGTGTGTGCATCACCATGACAGAATGTGGTTGCAGGGACTACCACAGAAGCCGTTTCTTTGCCTGTCTGTCTGTTTGTGGGCAGATTTTGTCAATGCAGTAATGTCACAACCATGCAAGATGCAGTCACAGAACTTTACAGGTGTGTACTTAAGTTCAAAATTAATGATGGGAATGATGGGTGTGGTCTGAGCAAGGGGGATGGAAGTAGGGGGGTAGAAGAAGGGAAGAAGCCACTATCCTTTCACTTTAGGTGCCTGACCCTATTCAATTTAAAAGAAGAGTGTGTGTAAGAATTAGGGGGATTTAGTGGCCTCTAGTGGTGAGGACTGTAGATTGCAACCAGCTGAAACTTGTCCTGATTAAGGTGGATTTATACTTGTGCCTCAGCTCTATGCAGACCCTACGCCATAGCCTTTGCACATGGCCTATGTTGTTGTGAGCATTTATACTTGTGTGGTGTGTCTGTGTCACTCTGCAGTTACACCTCCAAAACACTAGTCGGCGGCAGGGTTTCTGTGAAGTGCTGTAAAGTTAAGTTGATTCAAAACACACATTAAACACACATTAAACACGGCTTAATAGAGACAATTTCAAACACAAGAACATAAATCTACTTCACTGTAACTTGCAGGATTCAAAGACAAAGCACAAATACATCATGCTAACGTTTTTAGCACAAGCCTAGGGAATTTTGCATTGTATAAATTAGCCTAGCGGCTAGCGCACTTTTCCCCTATACATATGAAGCCAGGAACAACAGTAACATTTAACAAAGGTAACGGTACATAATTTTGCTCCAAAACAACTCACAAGCTTCACTAACAAAACAACTGTCTTATACTAAACATGTTTCCCAAACAAATATAACACTCTAACGTTTTTAGCACAAGCCTATGGTATTTTACATTGTATAAATTAGCCTAGCAACTTGCAGATACTTCCTCTACTCATATGAAGTCTTAAATCACACGCAAGACTTAAAATGCTATTGTGTGGAGGCATAATTTCTCAACAATTTATTGTTTCTTATCAGTGAAATAAAAGTAAATAAAAGCTTGGTTTCCACTGAGGGAAATGGTTACATGTAGATACATTTCTGGGGAGGTGCACATCAGGTTGCAGCATATTTGCTTTGACTGAATTATCCACAGAGGTCTCTTCCTTTTTACTAAAAAATGGACTAGGTGATTAAAACTGGAAATAAATAAATAAATAAAGCAGTTTCAAATTGTTTCTTGGACACTGTTCGGCATGTTGGAGATGGGCCTCTAACCAAGCACCTGCTAATGTGTGCTCAAGTTTTTTTCTCTGATAACTTAAGATTCAGGCATTCAGGAAGTTTTTATTGTGAGACGAATTATATGCAGAGTTCTCCTTCTCTCCAAGACAAATGAACCTATTAATTACTGTAACATAGTGATACAACATGGTGATCTCCAAGGACAAGGACCCGTTGTATGGATATATAAACAGCTAATCCTAATGTGACAAAAACACAACAATTATTATTTTTAGGTGAATATAAAGAAAACATACTCATTATATTATATTAAGTTTTTGTCAGTTTATCCCCCTAAATTCTACACACTGGACCTTTAACTCATGGATGGCTGTATCAGAGCTATTTTTTCCCCTGCATGTTTTGTCATCCGGGTTTTTATTGTGTTTAGTATGAGTTAATTTAAGTCTGAAATGCATTTGGCCAGGGCCCCAGTAATGTGAAATGTCTTGTTAAATGAGTGTCTCTGACAACAGTCATTAATAATTCCGGTAATTTTTATTTAGTTCCCAAAAAAGTAAGAACATTGCTATTTCTATGATCATCAGTAGAACTATAGAACTAGAGTTACAATCTGTAACTGTTTTATTAGAAGAAGAACATATACATTATTAATCCAATTTTTCACTCTGTTTGTCATATACACACAGGTCCTAAATACACACACATGCACAAACATGACCTATACATGCATTAAATGGAGACATCAGGGTGAGGGGGCTGCAAATGATAGGGTTCGTCAAGATTCAGCAGTGCCCAGGAGGCAAACAGACACCTCTTCAGCTACCAGTCCATGCTCCACATGTGGTCCGGCTGGGGACTTGAGCCAGAAACCCTCCAGTCCCCAACCTATGTCCCTATGGGCTGAGCTACTGCCGCCCCTAAAAGATAAGGAGATCCTAGTTGAGTGCAACCTCCTTGACATGGAAATGACAGCATGACAAATCATAAAGTCATAATGCAACATCATCAAAGGGAACTGAAGGGTGATGGCTTTAAAATGTGATGCCAGTAACACTCCGGGCCAATGATCTGACATCTAACGGACAATCTTACTTAAATTTCTCCTGAGGTTGTGTCTGTGAGCCTGCCTATCCCCATAACAGCCAACACGCAGTAAGAATAAGCACAGTGTAACATGCTCTTCTCCGAGTGCCAACGCCACAGCTTCTCTGTCGCCTTCAGTGACAGTGTTTGAAGCGAATGCTGTCATGTTGATGTAGACCACTGGAGCACAGTGGAAACTATTTTGTATCACCTGTTACTTAAAGTCTTGGCCTTCATTTTGATTAATTCTTCGTTCAAGGATACTTCAGTGGGCACGGTGCTTAATCAACAGGAAAACTGTTGAAATACATATCATGAACCCTCCTCAGTAATCTTTTTTGTCATTTTTGTATTATTCTGCATGCTTATTTTATTATACCCAATTTATGTATATTATGAATAGTCTCGCCACCAGACAATCAGAGATCTCCGCCTTCTGATAGTCTGGGGACACTCCTTTCTAAAGTGTGCTTAACACACCGGCGAAAACAGCCGGCAACAAAGCAATGCCTCCTGCATTTTTGAAAAGGACACGCCTTCTCGGAAATGTGCGCTCCCCCTTTTCTCATCCGCAAGGAAACAAACACACAGAGAGCTTGAAAATGGATGCCGAGAGATTTAACTCCGTTTTATCAAACATGTGCTCATCCATGAAGAAAATATTTTTTTCCAGCGGATGTCTTAGTTACAACATGATTGAGCTAACTGGAGTAGTTTCATGTCGTATCCGACAACGGGAGGCTTTTAACAGATGACGTCCTGATGTTAGCTTTGCTGCTAGTGTTAGCTGTCCCTGTCAGCTGCAGCCACTGATGCTTTCTAGATATCGTGATTTCCCAAAACTTAATAAATACCACACATAGCAATACAAAACTGCTTTGCTAGCTCAATCATGTTGTAACTAAGATATCCACTGGAAAAGATATTTTTTTCACGGACCGTTTAATGAGTTATTACCTATTACAGACACTGCTAACGGCTAACAGCTAACAGCTAACGGTTAGCCCAGCTAAACGTGCACACAGAAATAGTAAAGTTTGTTCAATCATTGTGTTTATAGACTTTACAAACATCGCATTAGTCTAAACGGTGATACAGTGATGTGAAAAATGTGATATATAGGCTATATATATAGCTAAAAGCTCTGCTGGTTTTCTACCCGGAAGTATTTGTAAACAACAAGGCGATTCCCTCTAGCGTGACGGATGAGTCTTGGCCTTGTAAAAGATTATGTTTGTTTCTTTTAGTTGGCGAGAATGTGTCGCCGCAAACCCAACAAACATCCACTAACTTTGACAGCGTTTTCTGCAAGCACGGCTGAGCCATTTTGTTCCGCTACACGTGTTTCTAGTGGGACTATGTTTACAAGCACAAGAGTTCAGCGAGCCACCTAAGGACCGCCCTGCATATTTACTATTGGTTCTGCAACGTAGGGAGTTTTTTTAAACTCTGAAATTGTATCCGCCCATCTAAACACAAAATCAGGGAGAAAGACATCAGTCTTTAGTTAAGCAAAGCGTCTAAAGACTGACTTGTGAGTCTATATTATGAAAGACAATGCCGACTCCATATGTTCTGACTAATGCCACAGTTATATGGTTAAAATTCCACACTGAGACAGGACCGTGATCATGATGTTTTTAAGGAAACTGAAGCCCCATAAGCAAATGTAGAGAACATCCAGTAATGGTTCATCCATGAAATCAATGTCAGACCAGAGCTGACACATTTGACACACATAGTGAGTGAATACCCTGCTGTCACTGCCTGGTCTTGTACCATGTAGCTGTTGATGGCAAGTTACAGTGTAGACAACAGCACTGCCCCAAATGTGCTAGCACCTCCCACTGGTTAGACTAGAAAATGACCTCTGTTTAACTAAACTATCAGTACAGGTGTATAAAACAACTAGTACAGGTGAATAAAAATACTCAGTGTTTGTGTATAAAAATAGCTTCAATTTTGACTGAGTTCCCAGTTAGAGTGAAAAAGGTCTACCTTAGATGCACTACACAGGTCCTGGAAAAGTAAGCTAAGCCCTGATCCTGAAATATCACAAAAAGACTTGTCTTTACTTTAAAATCTTGATTAGGTAATCCTGTCTGGGACTTCCATAATCTACCATGGCATCTGCCACTCTGCAGAATGATGAATACTTGGAGTTGTTTGGGGGGCAAAGCCTCTGGCATTGATGTAAAAATAACCGCCCAAATGTGATGAATGCAGCCAGGACAGCTCACCTGCTAATCTGTATGTGCGAGGCCCGTTGTGTTGCTGCAGACTCACATGTTGCATCAAGGCTTTGCTCGCAATTGAAGGTGACAGTAAGCCTGTCAGCTTGAACAGCAGGTTTGCACGTCTGCACTGATTGTACAGAGTTGCGTGCGTCACTGAACGGGACGCTGTGGGAAAAAGAAGGGAGGAGGAAAACAAGAGGAAGAGGGGTGGGGGGGGGGGGATTGCTGCTGAACCTGTGACTGGCAGGAGGGAAGAAAGTGACTGATAGCACAGTGTGGCCGACTTTCAGATGGAATAGTCCAGTTCCTGGGCCATTTTTGTAAAAGAAGACATTTGGAGTATCTTCTTGTTTTGATCCTCTGGGTCTGTAGGCCCCAGTCAGGATGAGCTGTATTCCTGCCTCACACAGGTAAGACAACTAAAATATTCATCAATCTACACAAGTATATACCTGCTCACTACCATAGCTAGGAGAACTAAAGCGTGTTGTGTCATATTGTCAGAGTACAATAATAAAAATGAGGCCACACTGTAGATTTAACAAGATAACGACATAATTGATTCAAGAAATTAATGGAATTAAATTGATCAAAACCCGGAGGTGGAAACGGGATTACATGCCAACAGCCCGGGATTAACATCATGTCAATCATTTCAGTTAATTAGGCTTTGACACCTACTCTTTGTCTGTTTGATTTAAATCTAAGTCAACAGATGCTGCTTCAATAGAATTTCAAATCTAGCTTTATTATTTTCCTGCGTGATGTGTCGAGGGAGTTTCCTCTTGTAGCATGTCTTGTAGCGTAATCATGGAGATATAGATTAAACAAACAAAAGGTATTAGTGATTGGAGACTGGTCAGCATCACTGACGTTACCTGAGTGTCCCTCTTTTACATCATCAACTATGGGGTGCCGTTTGTAAAGTGTCTCATGCTGAAAATAACATCAACATTTTGCCACATTTAGCTTCAAACAATGTTTAAAAAAGTATTGTGAATTTTTTAACGTCGCCTTTTACCACATTTACAGCAATATTTGTTAACTTAGAAATATATTAAATAGTTAAATCTAAATATTAAATGTGGCACCTAAATGTTAAATGTTAAATCTAAATCTAAATGCTAAATCTAAATCTAAATCTAAATGTTAAATCTAAATATTAAATATAAATATAATATAAATGTTAAATCTAAATCTAAATGTTAAATCT